GCCTCACAGTTTTAAATCATAGAATCATAGAAAGGCTTGGGTTGGAATGAGTTGTAAAGATCATCTAGTTCCAAACCCCCTGCCATGGGCAGCAATGCTGCTCATTAGACCAGGCTGCTCAGGGTCCCATCCAAACTGGCCTTGAATGTTTCCAGGGATGGGGCATCCACAAATTCTCTGGGCAACCTGTTGTAGTGCATCACCACCCTCTGAGTAAAGAATTTCTTCCTAACATCTGTTCTAAACCTACTCTCTTTCAGTTAAAAACCATTTACCCTTGTCCTGTCAGTATCTGTCTATATAAAAAGTCCTTCTCCCTACTTTTTATAAGCCCCCAGAAGGTGGCTGGAAAGCTGTGGTAAGGTCTCTGAAGCCTGCTCTTTCCTGAGCTGAACAACTCCAGCTCACTTAGCCTGTGTTCATAGGAGAGGTGCCCCATCCCTCAGATCATCTTTGTGGCCCAGTAATAACCTTTCCTCTCTCTCTTTGAGTCCATTAGTTAATGGCTGTGAGTGAAAATATACAGTTATTTGTGAATATTCCTGTGCGTGTGAATTACCTGTGGAAAGATAAACCAAAACAGCTATTCAAATATCATATATGTATACATTAGTGAATAGAAATTGGTTTCTTACTGACATACACGTAAAAGAGATTTGCAGAGGTATGTACAAAAGCAATATCTCCTTTCCTTTTCTGTCTTTCTCTCACCTGTCTCTTCCTCTCTTTCATCATCTCCTTCCTCTTCTCCTCCCCTGCATTCTCTTGTCTCTTCCCCTGCTCACCCCCCTTCTTTAGCCCCTTCCTTCTCCCCTCCTCCACTGCCCCTCTAAATTTCAGTCTCCCTTCCCTCTTCCTGTGGACCTCTCTACTCTCCTTCTCTCTACTTTTCTTCCCTATTTTCCCCCCTTCTTTTTTTTTTATTTCCTGCTAGTAGCATTTTCTTTCTTTTGCAAATCATTCAGACACTTTAGCCAGTGCTTAGCTGTCACAGACCTTAATAACTTGTTGAAACCCCCTTCCATTTCTTGTGCAGCACATGAAATGATGCTGTTCAGCAGACAGACAGCAGAAACAAGGTGTTCAGTCCTTTCAATTTTTATTTATGGCAATGGGGAGTATATTGCTGGAGGTACTAAGAACAGGTTTACTTTCTGAAGGAGTCAGATTTGTCTCAATTGCCTTGGGATGGAAAATGATCTATCCCAATAGCCAGTGGAAACAGCTTTCCTGATCTCCTGTTACTTTTTATTATGAATTATAAGTATCTTTTGTGAATGGTTAAACAACTTCACTCTTAATCTTATTAGTATAAGGCTCTCACACCGGACCCACTGAAAATGGCAGAAAGACATTCCCAAATTTGAGCAGACTTCAGTTCTGACTCTAACAAATATCCCACTGGCTTAACCTTTCAAAAGGCAGACAAATGAAAAATAACATTAAGCAGTTCTATCAGAAATAAATGCTAGTTGTTTTTGGAGGTCTTTTTCTCAGCCGTTCCCATTGATGTAGGCTATAGCAGGCTTTGGAATATGGCATACTTTAATCGGCTTGTTTCTTTTGAAGAAAGCACCAAATCATTGTTTTGTTTTGTTTTTGGGGCTCAAGGGTATTTAAAATGAACTCCCAATGAATTGCAAGTTACAGTTGTACTCCTAAGTACAATAGTGGGCAATAAATAAGAAAGATTAAGTATTCTGTAGTCAGGTTAGAGTGGAACAACAGCAAGAGACTGATGAATTCTTTCTAAACAAACAAAAAAGCATAATTGGAAAAATTCATTTTTATATTCTCTTACATTAGATGGGGCCACTGAGTGAAACATTCACTGATGAATTTCTTCTCTAATCTGTGGAGGAAAACCAGCTACTGCTGAATTAAAGAGTCCTGGAACGGAGCCATGAGAACTAAATGGCTAAAAATGAAAACAGGCAAACATTTGAAGAGTATTCTACAGAACACAGATCTTTCAACACCTCCCCCTTTTCCATGGCTAATTCATTGTCATGGAAACTGAATTTATCAAAATGTTCTTGTTCACTCTTAGTGACCCAGTGAGTCGACTTACGGAGCTGGTGAAAGGTAACTCAGGCTGAAGCAATTTTTACAAATGATATGCAGCAGTTCATAAATTGGTAAATTTTGAATGGCACCATTGTGCTTCTCAAGTAGTTTTCCCTAGTCTCAAAAGACTATTTCTGTCTGCAACCTAGAGGTGTCTGAAACGCTCACTAATAAGTTAGCATGAGAGGCATGTATGAGTATGGCTCTTTTCTTCCCTCTCAGCTCTCCTTTAATTTGTTTTTCTTCTTATCCTGTGAATTTATGCTAAAATCTTGTTATTTGTGTCATTCTTTACTTCATGCATTCTCCACAGCATTTTCCTTTGCTGATCTGTAGCCCAAGGATGCAAAAATCCTTCATCACCTCATCACAAACATCTCTTCTTATCTGTTACTGAAGGTAGGTGTTGACTATCAAGTGTTGTGCACAATGACTACTGTATGCAGCCAGCTTTGCCAAATCCAAAATAACCCTGGAACTCTGAGTGATTCCACCATGTCTCAGAAGGTGGGGCTGCTTGTGTTTCTTCATCATACATGAAAATTGTCGTATAATTGTTTTGAAGGTTTTTCAGCTTCCATGTCACTGCCAAATTCTGTCAAGGTTGATTTTTACTTTATTTTCTGTTAGCAATTAGTGACTTGTTGTCATGGAAACTGCACTTCACATGATTCTTGAACTTAAATGGCTGAATGTGATCATACAGCAGCCCTTCATTCTTTAAACTCAGTAGTTAAAGACTTGTTTTTGTGTGTGATCTTGATTACAGAATCACATAAAATATCTATAAACACAAAAAATAATAGCAGAAGGCTACATCAATTAAAATGAAGTAGTCAATAATTCATTCTTTAATTAAAGCTCTTCCTTTCCCTATTGCTGTAACCTTTCAAGTGTCAAAGCAGATACGAGCTAATCATTTGTATGAAATATTTTTTTCTAATTAGCAGTTTGTGAAACAAAAATGAAGGAAAACAAAAAATGGGGATTTAAAATACTTTTGCTTTTGTGTTTAGTGCAATGAATGAAAACGAAAGTACTTTAGAGAAAATATTTTCTAGAGTATGAGTCTGAGTTTGTGGACAGCATTTAGGTACACAGAGAGGGATGCATTCACTTCTGCTTTTTTTTGGTAGATGAAATGACTGGAAAAGGTAAATGATATGTCCCAATATAATTTCAATAACAGACACATTTGAATTTGCTCATCTGCTAAATATTTTGTATTTTCAAATCAAAGTCTTAAAACTTCAATTCAGAGGCTATATTTTTCAACAGTAATCACACTGAAGGAATAATACATTGCATTTTTTTTCTTCTGACATCTCCACCATTTAGAAATATTCCAGAAATATTGCTGCATCATAAAGATCTCTTTTCACTGAAGATTTTTTAGATATATTACTCTGATAGCAGTGGCCGAGTAAGCTGAATCAGACCAATATAAAGGCTTATATCAAGTCTCTTATTCCGAGGATGATCCTAATCCAGTTCTAAACTACCTGGAGATTTCTATTTGTATGTGCCTGTATGCATGTGTATATACACACTTTATTCAGAAAAATTCTAAATGCAGAAGTTTTCCAGATATGACTAAAATATTTCAAATTCACAGTTTGCACTGCTTTAGTGTCATTGTCTAGACAAATAGTTCGTCTGATTTCATGTTCATGTCTCTGTTTGATTCTTGAAAAATGCTGAATGGCTTGTAATCAATAAGGAACGTCATAGGAAATTATAAGAATCAGGCCTGGGCATCTGAAATTGTAAATGTCACTCTAATGAATGCTAACCAGTAGACACTGTGATTTTTGAAGATTTTTCTGGTGCCTGATATGCTAGAAGACTCGGTCTTGAAAGGACACTGCACTCTTATTAAACTTTTCAAATGTCTTTTTGTAAAACTAGAACTAAACTAAAGTATTGGGTAATGTAGCTATCAGAGAGAAATGTAGTTTAAAGGCACTATAAGACAATTTCTTCCCTGTGGTAACCCAGCTGAATTCAGTGTTATTTTCTGCTGTCTCTCCTCCCATGTATTAGAGACTCATTACTTGGATTCATTAACTTTACTATAAAGATAGCTGTTTGCTTTCAGTGATACAAAAGCAATACAGTATGATTTTAGCATGCACTTGCTGTGTTCGGATATTTATTATAAAGAAGCAATTTTGAAGTATTTTAGTAGAAAAGTATTCACTTATTTATACAGTGTGCTAGATTCCCATCAAGCATTTAACTGGATAATATTTTTTTTTTTTTGTAAAAAAAGGGGAAAGAAAAAAGTAGGTAAAACTTCAATTTCTTATACTTATGATAATATATATGTCTGCCAAAAGGTAACATAGATATGAAATTTAACATATACACTGAATGGTTTTATTAACCTTCAAGAGAACAGGTATGTACTTCACCATGTGCTGTGTGTTTCTGTGCTCACTGAAGTCCTAGGAAATCAAAGCAACTATTCTGAAAACCATGCTGAAACCAATGTGAGGCCAGAATTTGTCTCATATTTAGAATTTCATGTTATCACACTAAGTATGGCGTTTCCTAGTGAATTGTGAGTTTGGGCTTTAAGCTTTTTTTTAGCCGTTCCCCTTTGTTAATGTGTCAGGTTACTTTTGGTTCCTATTTCTTTAGAATTACTCCAAATATGTCTTTGCATTGCTAACTTCTCCTAAAATTTCTTAAAAGTACAGTCTATACTTCAAACTTCTAAAATCACAAAACTAGTATCAATAATTGTATTAGCCCTGTGGTAGCTACAACACATATAGATTCTTTCTTGAACACTTCCAGTACACGTTGTTCTTTCTATGGTTCTAAAGATTTGTGTTTAATTAACACTTATTACTAATTGTACCATGTAGTTGTTTTCACAAAAATGTGAAATTTTATCTTTTGTTTCATTAAAAATGCAGGGAATAAAAACCATCAAATTACTTATTCAAGTTTATAATGGAGTGAAATATTTGACACTACCCTTGTACAAGGTCAAATTGTTCTCCAGAACTATTGCTATTATTACAGAAATTTTAAAGAAAGCGTTATGAAAATAAAAATCCAGAAGAGTGTTCTTCAATATGCACAATCAGGAAAAAATTACTCCTTCGAATCAGATGTAAGTATAATTTCAAAATAAGAAGCTATAAACCAGCTGATTTTCTTCATTGTCTGGGATTCCTTTGGGGTATTATTTCAGTCTTGTAATCTGTTTAACTTTTTTGTACTTGGAAAGACAATAGAATATGACAGGTTCTTTGACAGTTTGCTAACACAAATTAACCTCATTTATGGGAAAACTGACTGTGTGTGAACACCTATTTTTGCAGTGCTTTATAAGACAATCTCTAAACTGCTGACATGTTGGGAGGTCTGCTTCCTAAATTTTAGGCATTCTGCTGAATAATAACATGGATAATCTACCAAGTATTTTATGATAGGCTTGCATATTGATGACCCTATAATATTTGTAGGGGAAAAGAAAGAAAAAAAGGCATGCTTGCTATGTTCTTTCAAACTAATGAAAATTCTCTTCATTGCACCTGTAAAGCACTGCTTCTATGCACAGGATTTTACTGCGGTAACAGAGGTATATTTGATCACTGTTTATTCTTTAAAGAACCATGCAAACCAAGTTAAGAGCAAATATTTTGTGGTGAGAATTTATCACATAGAAATAATATTAGCCTAAGGGAAATGCATAGGATTATATTTGTTTCTATCTGGTCTGACAAATGAATAAATGATTGTCCCATAGGAATAAGGAGATGACTACAGGAGAATCTGATGTCAATGTAATCCCCTTACAAAAGGTTGGAATCAAATTAACTATTAGACTTTTCTTATTTGGCTAAATTTCAATGTTTCTGGCTTGGAATTATTTTATAACTAGGTGAGAGGTATTAAATAAGTTAGGTGAGGATGATGAAGACTATCTATCAAATAAAATCAAACACTAGTGGCCTTTAAAAATAAATTTATACATGAAAGTGTTCAAGAGTCTTGCCTATCCACCTTCTAAAAGCATGTATATTTCTCCTTACAGTTTAAGATATACTGTTGAATAAATACATAACTAAACAGCAGAAGAAACAATAAAAAAATTATGTGAATTTCCATGTTCCCTCATCAATCTTTTTTTTTGCGTGTGTGTGTGTGTCTGTAACCTCTGGTGCTGAAGGAAGGACCAAGAAAGATTGATGGAGGGTGATGGCAAATGCCATTTTATAGTCTCTTCTTTGCTATGAAAAAAAGCTGCAACTTTAAAGACAAATATTGTCTCTGCGGACTTAACTAACTAACTGCATAAATAAAAAGGCTGACTTCTTTAGAACTCTGAGCCTGGACCAAAATTTTTCACTTTAGGCTACCTTTTCACAAAGTCTTTGCTGCCAGTTGTGTTTGTTCTGAATGACCTATATTTATGGTGGGAAAACCTTTAATGTATAATCATATCGTATTTTCTGTGCATGCCACATAGGTGCATTTCAAAGCATTAAAGTATGTTTATGGATTATCTTTTGTAGTGTTAATATAAAGTTAGATTCCCTGTTTACTGTAGGTCCAATTGTATGAAAGTTTCAGAGGGAGCCTTTGAAATCTCTAAATATAGCTTAAAAGAGTTTCTCTATATCTAAAATGTCATGACATTAACATCCAGTACCTTGGGATACTCCACAGTTAGAAACTGGGAAACTGATTCTTTCCAGTAGCATAGAGCTCTAATTTCTAGCCTTACAAGTATTCAAAGAAATGGACTTACCTTCTGACATTTTAGATATAAAAAAGGTTTTCTGAGTCCAGCTTATTCTGTATATTAGGAAGCCATATTTTCTAAAGAAAGATTCCTGGTTTAAAAAGAGTAAAAATTAATGACTCCCTGTTGCAATTTAAAATAGTGACAAGAAGTCCCTATTGGTTCTTTACAGGTATTCTATAGTTATGATTTTCATAAGAGGCGGTCTAGGTCATAAAAGCTATACTAATTACTCACAAAGATATATAAATTATTAACAGAGCTGATTGCTAGCGACTCCTTGCTCGCAGGTTCTCAGAGAAAGTTTCAGTGGCGTGACCCCGCTTCACTAGGAGAAAAGAGCCACAAAGTTCCTTCTCTGGATTCCAGTGGCTAAAAGTGGTTTATTTGAAACTCACGTGGGCTTTTAAAGTCTCTGAGGGAGGGCTTAGAAAGAGGAACGCGACTGGGCAAAAGTCTGGGGGAAAGGGAGTGGCTTGAGGGCTCTGCTGACCAATGGGAGATACAGGAGGACCAAACTCTGGTAACAAGCCAGGACTGGGGAGAAGAGGATGAGACAAACAATAATGCTTGTGCAGGGGCGGGGACTGGTTCAGGGAGGGGAGACAACAAGGCACTGTGCAGGGGGACCGCATGGGTAAGGGGAATTACATAATTCAGGGGAAAACTGTAAAATAAAAATGCAAGTAGTCGGTGTTTTTCCACTCCGCTCGATCCTGGAGAGTGGCTGCTGTGAGGGACCCGCTTCTAGAGTCGTTCTTTCAAGGATTCACAGTCTTTGCATTCCCCCCCCAAATTATTTTATAATCATATTTATAAAAAGTAGACCTACTTACATAGTTCTGAGTCTAACTAGAGTTTGAAGATGCAGACATATATGCTTTTTATGAGCGGAGAAAGGAGATTTTATTTGTTGCTATTAGGAAGGAAGTTCAATTAAAGAGAATAATACAAATGTAGAGTGTGCTCAGCTTTTTTTTGACCCAGTGCTCATCAGTAGTGATTGTCTATTATGGTTTTTTTAGTAGTGAGACTGAATCTGTAATTAATTGAGGATATGAATATGAAAAGAAAGTTACTTCCTCAGTTCTCTCCAGTAAAGCATTTCATTGAGCTGGATGATGAATCAGTGTCTGAAGTTGTGTGTCACAGTCAGACTACTTTTCCATTTAGGGCCTGTTTCACACTGACTGAAAAATGGTAGAGTGGTTCAGCTCCATTTGCTGAATAACCTGGAGGTCCTTAGGGGAAAGGAGGAAAAATCTACTGTGTTTAAGAGAGTGTTGGTTTCAACCTGAATTCTTGGCATGCAAGTAGCCTATTTCTCTTTCTTGCAATACCTTGTGTTAAACCAGGCTTTGACTAGTGTGATGGGAATATCAAACATCTCCCCAGAGTAACATTTTGCAGTACAGCAGAAAAAAAAATGCAGTTATCTGTAAGATTGCACAGAAAATTATATATACATTTCTGAGCTGGATCAATAATGCTCCTTGATATTGTGCATGCCAGATTATAGAAGAGAACTCAAATTCAGGAATTTCAGAGTTGCCAAATGTATCACTATTTTTCTGCCTGGGTACCTTTGAAAGACCTTGTTTTTAAAATGTGAATTTTCACAACATTATGAAAATCATATCTTGGATGGTACAGAAAAAAATGGAGAGAACAAAATTCTTTGTGTTAGTGCAGTTCAAGATAACTTCAGGAACTTATCTACCAAACTGCACTTTAGTTAAAACCAATTTTAATATTTCCCATGTAATGTCTACAAGAAATACATAGTATCTGTAGTATATAGGTATGTTACCAAATTGCACAGAAAAGTTGTAGAAATAGACACATATATTGATTCCTTTAATGTACAACAGTTTTAAGAATTTCTATGTCATAGGTATAATTGATTATGTAGGAAAATAGGCCTAAATATGTGGTTTACATGATAGCTGACTTACTGATGGTCTAGTCAAATGATCAGCACTAGCAATGATGACTCAGGAAAGGCCAACATAATCACTGCAGAAAAACTGGAATATTTAGAGCCTGAAAACTCAAGTAACATTTGACTTTAAGTAAGTAGCAAGTGCAAGATAGTGAAGGCACGCCTGGTTCAATATAACTCAGATTTCAGTTGAACTGTTATTTGCCTTTTACATTTTCTCTTCCTTCCTCTATTTTCTTATTTCATATTGTCTACTTTATAAATGTGAGGTTTTAAACCAGTTATTCTTAGTCATCTAGCTGTCCAAGAAAACTCTTAGGGAGATAAGTAAGGATAAAATTGAATAGTTTTTTTCCTCCAGCTTTTTCTTCTCGCTGACAGATGCTGACCATGATCTGAAGTGAATTTTATCCCTAAAGTAGCTTTATAGGGAAATTCTGAAATAACCTTCATATATGAAGTTCGCTGTTAACAACTATAAACTGTACTTTCACATTATCTGTCATGGCTTATACACAAAGAATCCCTGTTATTCTCTCTAGTCAGTTCAGAAACTGCGACAGTGCTGTAGCAGTGGTGATGTGTGTTTGCACGTAACTGGGGCATGGAAGCATCCTTCACTAATATTTTCTGTTCCTAGAAGGCCTTGCGTAGAGAGAGCATTGATCAAATGGTCTCCTACAGGGGTGCCATTGCTGCAGGCTGGTCATTTAGGGTGGCCAACCAAAAACAAAACTGACGCAAATGAAATCAAAAAGAACAAAGAAGTAGCTAGAGGCAGAAAAAAATCTGTCAGTCCATTCTTTTGTTATAGCTGTGCTTCAAGCATCAGTGTCTGCAAGAAGCTCCGAAGTAGCCCTAGGATGAAGCTCTGTAATTGGAGGCAAGCAAGGCACAGATGCTAGCTTTTATTAAATATCAACAGAATTTAACAGCGCCAACAGCCCAGTGATGAAGGAGAAGGAAGGATAGGAAGGAAATTCCTTCTTTGGGCTAATTTCATGCTTACTGTCCTTCAAACCTACTCATCAGATGTGTCATTATGCTCTGTGTCTCTGACAGAGTCAGGCTATCTATAAATACCTTGATAGCTCTATGCACTTGAGTCACGTATGAATAACCTCTTGCTCGTGAGATGATGTAGGCTATGCTGCCTGGCTCCCAGCTGTTGTTACTGAAGGGTACAAGTCCCTTTTAAGTCCTATGTGGTTTCTGTCAGCCTTACATATACATATTTACTTCCCTGGGGTATCTGAAATATCATTAGACACTAATATTTAGACAACTGTATCCTTCCCAAAATGGATTCCTTAAGTGGAAAGAGGCATATATCAGGGATGCTTATAACTGTGGAGCAAAGTGTTCATTTCTCATGCCTCTTCACATTGAAATGAAGACGGCTTATAGAAAGACACAAAAACATGGAGTCAGACTTCTCACTAACGCCTTGTAGGTTTGCTTTTTATGAAAAGCAAGCAGTTATTTTATTTTAAAGAGGGACATTATTGGGTTCTGGTGGTTTGCTTTGACATGGCTTCCTCCAGCTGCAGAATGGACTTGTTAAGGTTCTTATCCATTGGGCAGATTTACTGATGTCTTGGACTTCTCTATATTCTACTCAGTGGGTACAAGTGAGGTTTAAGAATATCTTTAATCTGAGATCCAAACCCCCTGCTCCTTAACTGCATTCACTGGAACAAACCAACGTAATTTAGAAATATCAGTTAGGTTGTCTCTCTCTTCAGATTATTTGAATAGCACTGTATGACCTTTGTCTGAGGTCATACAGAAAGGAATTTTATATAAAGTTGTTTTACTTTGTCTAATACAAAAATTTGCAATATTGAATTGTAAAGCCTTGATGGTTTTGACTTGTGAATGCACTCACACAGTTTTTTGTTTCTTCAGACTGACCACTCACAAATTGCCTTTATGCTGAAGGATCCACCCCCCCAAAATGGCTACTCAAGAGTCATTACTGAAGGTAATTGTGAAGCTGAAAGGTGTTCAGTGCTAACAGCACACTCCGTCCCTCCTTTGCCTGCTCTCCAATCTCCCAAGCTACCTACAGGAAATGCTAGCAATAGAGAGTGTCCCAGGAGTTGCTTTGCTTTGCAGTGTTCATGCCAAAAGACAGCACTATTTTTGCCTGAAGTTCTCTTTTATGACATGTACAGATCAGCATAAAGTACTCTGCAAAATTAATTGAATTTTCCAATAATTGTTCTAAAGCCAAATACCATATAGAGCCCTAAGATATATATGCATTTTCAAATGTCTTTGTAGCCTGATTTGGGCCATTTACCTCATGAAATTTCAGCTAAAGGCTGAGTGCATTAATGAAACTGTGAGTCAATGTACATTTTTTTCTTTTCTGCTTTTCTTTTTTTGATGTGGATGCTTTTGTTTTCTGCTACACTGAACATGTTTCTTAGGCTTACTTGATTTGCCCACCTGTTGGTGACAATATGAGCAAGGATGGGCGAATAACATTGAATAGATAGGAAGAGAAAGAGAATTGTGTCAAAGAAGATTAGGGAGAAGTATACAGACACAGCAGATTCAGCCTGATGGTTGTAGGAGATTTAATAGAGCAAGGAAATAAAAGTTTAGATTTCTAAAGCTGTCTAAACTGGGGACAATATTCCTCTGCAGTGTACTGCACTGGATCCTGCTGCCCAGGTTCTCTTATTCCTCCACATAGAAGGGATCTGCTGTCAAGGATGTTGTGTCAAAATTAAGGAATTAATTCACTGCACTACCAGGTAGTATAAAAAATGGATATATCTCCTAGAACACACTGAAGGGTGAGACTGATCAAAACCAACTTGGATCAGTGAAGATACATTGAGGTAAACATTATTGACATATAACATTGGCATTCAGAGGATTGCAAGGTGTTTAGTGCCTGTTGCCACGAAAAATCAAGAGACGCATTCTTTCAGAGATAAATTCTAAAGTGGATCTGAGATGTTAAACAAGTGATTTGGGGGAGCTAGGGGGGAGGGTAATTTGTGGATAGAAAGAATTTTAGTGTGGAGCAGTCCTTGTTATAGTTATATAAAACTCATTAAGGGCAGGAATTTGAATGTAAAGTACCAGAAGTTATGGACTAAATTTACATTAATAAGTAATGCAATCCAGTGGGGAAGGATCAATAGATCAAAGCAGGTCATGCTGGCATTTGTGTCTGCCATACGTGAAGTCTGGAGTTTTAGCTTTGCACTGGGTTTAGCATGATTTCCTTGGCTGAACATCTTTGCTCTGTGTGTGGCTCAAAGTAGTCAAAAGGACAAGTCAGTGTTTCATATCCTTTTGTCTGTCATGACATGGAGACATATTTGATGCATAGATGAAGTCACGCTTTGTGTTTAGATACCTGTTAAAGATATCAGCTTTGAGATGACTGAAACTACACTGAGCTGAATCACATATTTTGCTCTAGAACAAAGCACTAGATAAAATCATTGTTTAATATTTAATAAATTCATAAAAATTAATAAATCTGTTGTTGATAGCAATAGAGCAGATTCTTCATATATCACAAGGTGTGTGTAATATTATAACTCCAACTTCAATGAATTTATTCCTAATTATACTTGAACAAATGAAAAGGCAGTCAAGTTCCATTTGAAGAGATTGTTCACCAGGGCTAAGACTTACACTATATATTCAAATTTCCCTTATGTACCTATTCTACCCAAAACAAAGCAGGTATTACATAAATGCAAACATTTATAGAATCATAGAATGGTTTGGATTAGAAGGGACTTTAAAGATCATCTAGTTCCAACTCCACTGCTGTAGACAGGGATGCCACACTGATACAAAAGTATTTTATAAATGTAAACTTTAATTTGGGTTATGTCAATTTTTTTTTTAATTTACCTGTCTTAATCTATTTTTATATATGCATTTACACTTTCAAGACATTCTTTTAAATTAGTAATTAATTAAATTATTCGTTTGAAACAAGGACTGTGCTGTTGTTAGTACTAGTCATAGATGTAACTGAAGAGTAAGTGGTAAGATTATAGGTTCATGCTTTTTATTTATTAATTTAAGAATTTTATTTTTCAATGTAGTATGTTTCTCACATATTTTGCATTCCAGATCTTCTTTTATTATGCCATTTCCCCCTTCTTTTCAAAGCACCACTAATTCACCCCAGTGCAGCAATAATCAGTAACTGGGAAGGAGTTTAGAAGGAGAGGGAAAAAGAGAGCTATTGAAGTAAATGAAGCATTACCCATGACTGCTGCATACACCAGTGTCTGTTCCTCCACTAGCATCATGTCCCCTCTTCTGATGATAACTCATTTCCCAGAGCATTCTATGCTCAAGGGCAATAGCTATCTTCACCACATAGAGAATTAGCACTGGCTGGCATAATTTTGGAAATACATAGCAATTACTTGTAGCAGAAACTCAGATCTCAGAATCCCTTAATGAAGAATGACAGAGCTGAGCTCAGAGACAGTGGCCCAGAGCTGCTAGGTTGCTGTTCTACATTGTTAGTTCACAGAATCCCCATGCAGATCATCTTCCCCTTTCTTTTTCTTTCTTCCTCCTTTCCACCTGTCTTTGTGATCTCATCAACTTAGCATCTCAGTTGTATTACCCTTCTTATTCTTTGCATTGCTTTTCTTTACGATTGCATTTGTCTCATTTTTTGCCCTAATTGTATCTAAAAAAAAGAAAATGTTTGAATGAACTACATTTTACAGTTGCCTTGCATAAGCATGCACTCTGCTTTTCCTGGGAGTTACTAGGGAGTTGCCTTTGGTTTGTTTCATAGAATCGTAATCATAGAATGGCCTGGGTTGGAAGGCGCCTTAAAGATCATGTAGTTCCAACCTCCTTGCTGTGGATAGAATCACCTTTCACTAGACCAGCTCACTCAGAGGTCCATATTTGACCCTCTATATTTCAAAATTAAAATTTATTTTACTTTACATGTCTTAAGAATGTATGAAAGCTATGTGTAGGTGTAAACTCCTATAACCAACCATGTATTTATGCTGCTGGGGGTAGCATAATACATAGACCTCCTTTGGGATTATGCCATTTGTGATAAACCAAATAAAAAAGATAAGGTTAAAGCTCACTTCTAAATATATGAACTCTCTAATGGCATTTATTTTCAGACTGAATCACAGAAAATCTTAAGACTAAGCCTGATGCCTGTCTCTTTGTGTAAGTTTCATTTTTACATGCTATTATGAAGATACTTTTAACTGAAAAAAAATACTTGAAGGAATGTCTGAGAAATACCATACATAAATAGCTACACTATTTTGAATGGATGTTTGCTTGGCACTAGTGCTTTTCTTTCTAAAGGGATCTTGGAGACACTTGTGTTTGAAACACTTGTGATTAGAAATTATTTTATCATAAACATACCAGTGTCTCAGGCATAGAAATTTCATTCAGCTAGGGACACACTGCAGAATGGCTTGCACCTGGACTTCATGGCACTGGTCAGATCCCTCTGAATCTAGTGGTTCAGCTAGTTTTCAGTATACACTACTTTCCACTGATCAATACTTCCTCAGTTTGTCTATGAAGATATTATGTGAGACAGTCTTGAGAACCTTACCAAAGTAGATATAAGCAACAGCCACTCCTCTCACTCCCACCCAGCTGAACTAGTCCTTTTGTTGTGAAGGCTATAAGGTTGATCAGACATGACTTCCCCTTTGTAAATCCATGCTGGCCAGTCCAGTCACTTTCTTTCCTTTAACATGTTTCGAAAAGGTTTCCAGGGCTATTTGCTCCATTGCATTCTCCAAGGCTTAGGTGCAGCTGACCAAATTGTAGTTCTCTGGACCCTACTTGCCTTTCTTGAAGGTAGGGGTGACCTTTACCTTCTTCAAGCCCCTAAGGAACCTCCACTGATCATCATGACCTTTTGAAAGTAATTGAGATTGTCATCATGATGACATCAGACAGTTTCCTCAGAATTTGTGGTAGGTGCATCCTACAAAGGCAAAGACCTCAGTGACTGGAAAAAAGGAAATATCACACCTGTCTTTAAAAAGGGTTAAAAGGAGGACACGGGGAATTACTGGCCTCTCAACTTCACCTCAATATCTACTAAGATAATGGAAGACAATCTCCTGGAAGTTATAACTTCCAAAACATGGAAGTTATGTCAAAATAAGGAAGTCAAAAAGGTCATTAGAAACAGCCAGTTTGGCTTCATCATGGGCAAATTACGCCTGACAAATATAATGGCCTTCTATGATGGAGTAACTGCATCTGTAGACCAGGGAAGTCATCTATAGATGTCATTTATCTAGACTTTTGTAAGGCCTCTGATATGGTCTCCCACAATATTCTTGCCACTAAACTGAAGATAAGGATTTAATGGATGAACTGTCATATGCATAAGGAATTGCATGGACGCTCATATGCAAAGAATTAAAATCATGGGTTCAATGTCCAGGTGGAAACCAAAAATTAATTCAGTCCCTCAAGGGTTTGTACTGGGACAAATGAAGTATAATATCTTCATCAATGCAGTCACACACTGCAGTTGAGTGCACCCTCAGCAAGTTTACAGATGACACTCAGCCGAATGGTGCGGTTGATACATAAAGAATGCCATCCAGAGGTACCTTGACATTATTGAGTACTGGGTCCATGTGAACCTTGAAAGCTCAACAAGGCCAAGTGAATGGTCCTGCATCTGGGTCAGGGCAATCCCTAGTACCAGCACAAACTGAGGATGAATGGATTGAGAGAAGTCCTGAGGATAAGGATCGGCGAAAAAAAAATTGGTTATGAGCTGACAGTGTTTGTTCGCATCCCAGAAAGCTAACCGTATCCTGGGCTGCATCAAAAGAAATGTGGCCAGTAGGTTGAGGGAGGTGATTTTCCTCCTCTGTTCTGCTCTTGTGAGACCCCACATGGAGTACTGCATCCAGGTCTGGAGTCCTCAGCAGAGGAAAAACACTCTTAGAGTAGGTCCAGAAGGGAGGA